TTGGTCAGGCTGGCCTAGAACTCCCAACCTCAGGTGATTCACCCACCTCAGCTTTCCAAAGTGCTGGGATTACAGACGTGAGCCACCGTGCCTGGCTGAGTGTGTGTATTTCTTTTACAACCAGTGTTAAGACTGAAATATTGTTAACTTTTCCCTGAATGAGATAAGGAAGTTAGCATTCCTTTTATTTATAAAACTTCCTTTTATCTCTTCCCTCTCTCCTCTCTTCTGTTATTGGTTTAGTATGGCATTATATTATCAGTTTCTTATTTTTAACATGTATTATCTCTTCAAAGAGCTCACTCTTATATTGATTTATAGAAACCTTGGTAGCGAGAATTTAACCTTGGGTATATTTTTAATAGTTTCAGTGCTTATTGACAGTCCTTTTAAAGCACTTTCTCTATTTTTTTCTCTATTTCTATTTATCTCTCTGTGTGGTGATTTGTTTACCCCTCAGGGAGGGAATGGGATACTTTCTGAGTCCATGATGATCTGAGAATGTCTTTTTGTTGCCTTCACACGTGAATAAGAGCTTGATTGAAGATAAAATTCTTAGGTCATAAACTTTTATTCTTGGAATTCTAGAAGTATTTCATATTGATATTAGGAATTGAAAGCTTTGAAAGAAGAGTTAGAAGAAGATGTGATTTTCTTTAAAAAAAAAAATCCTGGCCGGGCTCGGTGGCTCAAGCCTGTAATCCCAGCACTTTGGGAGGCCGAGGCGGGTGGATCACGAGGTCAAGAGATCGAGACCATCCTGGTCAACATGGTGAAACCCCGTCTCTACTAAAGGTGCAAAAAATTAGCTGGGCATGGTGGCGCGTGCCTGTAATCCCAGCTACTCCGGAGGCTGAGGCAGGAGAATTGCCTGAACCCAGGAGGCGGAGGTTGCGGTGAGCCGAGATCGCGCCATTGCACTCCAGCCTGGGTAACAAGAGCGAAACCCTGTCTCAAAAAAAAAAAAAAAAAAAAAAAAAAAAAAAAAAAAAAAAAAAATCCTGGCCAGGTGTTGTGGCTTACGCCTGTAATCCCTACACTTTTGGAGGCTGAGGTGGGTGGGTCACCGAGACTAGGTCAACATGGCGAAACCCATCTCTACTAAAAATACAAAAATTAGCAAGGGGTGGTGTTATGTGCCTGTAGTTCCAGCTACTCAGGAGGCTGAGGCATGAGAATTGCTTGAACATGGGAAGCAGAGGTTGCAGTGAGCCAAGATAGCACCACTGCACTCCAGTCTGGGTGACAGAGTGAGACTGTCTCAAATAAATAAATAAATAAATAAAAATTTGAGTGTAAGCGCTTTGATTTTCAGCTTGCATATTATGAAGGGTTTTTTAGCCATAAAATTTAAGACATTAATCATTTATTAATGTACCCAACAAATGTTTATTGACCACCTATTATATGTCAGATGTTTTTAGGCACTGGGAATTTGATGGTGACACGGAAGTATCATGCTTCATGGAACCTCCATCTGGGTAGTGGGAAAATGTAAATGTTCATGTTTTGCACTAAGTTTTCCTAGTACCCTGTGAGCTATTGTTGTTTTGAGACTGAGTCTGACTCTGTCATCCAGGCTGGAGTGCAGTGGTGTGACATTGGCTCATTGCAACCTTCGCCTCCTGGGTTCAAGTGATTCTTGTGCCTCAGCCTCCCCAATAGGTAGGATTACAGGCATGTGTCACCATGCCCAGCTAATTTTTGTATTTTTAGCAGAGACGGGGTTTTGCCATGTTGGCCAGGTGCGTTTCAAACTCCTGACTTCAAGTGATCTGCCTATCTTGGCTTCCCAAAATACTGGGATTACAGGTGTGAGCCACCATGCCCAGCCCCCTGTGAGTTTTTGGTCTTTAGAATTTGGTTTAACTATATATTAAGAATTTCTTTTATTACATTTCTGATTATTGCTTTTTGTTTTTTAAAGTTTGTTTTTGTCTCTTCAAATACCCCTATGTGGACTTGCTTGTTTGCCCACACTGGTTTTCCACTTTCTCCTTTTTATTGTCCATGTCTTTTTCCTCTGCCTTCTTTGAATATATAACAAGTTTGTTCTCTATATGCACTTACACAAATATGCATTTTTGCATTTATGTTCCTGATCTTTACCATTTCTAATGCACTTTACATTTTGCTGTTGCACTTTCATTTCCTTTTCTTTGGGTTTCATCTAGTTCCCTTTTCATTTCTGCTTCTCTCCACCAGTTTCCTCTCTGCTGTCACATTCTTTTATTATCTAATCCTTTATCTCTTGTTTGAATCTATTTTAAGAATTTCTATTGAACCGTACAAAACAGATGCTGCCTAATTTTACCATTCTTTTGCTCAATATTTTCTTTTTTTATAAATATGCTCATTCTTTGCCTCCCAAGAACAGTCTTCCTCTCTTTTCTTCTCCTTCTTGGTAGAATCATTTCACAGGTTTTTTTCCCCCCTTCTGGATTATTTATCTTTAGAAGATAAAAGTTCTGTCTAGGTCTGGTATTTCCCTCATAATAAAATGGATGGCCTTCCCTTTGATCTTCCTTTTTATTGGATAATGTTAGTATGTTTATGTTAGATCTCAGCATGAAGGATTTACTACTGGTTGGGTAATCCAGTGTCCTTTGGGCAGCAGCTGTGAGAAAGCCCACCACCCTGTGCTTTATTTCTGAGCATTTTGCTATGATTGGGGAAGCTGTTGGCCTTGGGCCTGGCTTCTTTATGGGATTACAGCCTCCCAAGGCAGGAAAGAGGCAAGCCCCTTCTGTCAACCCAGGCTCTGTGCCAGATGGTACCTTCAGGTCCTGAGTCTTCTACTTTGAAGTCCTTCCCCATTACTAATCTACAGTGGGCTGAAAAAGGACTATTATTATTACTAGCAGTAGCAATAGTAGTATATATACTATTTTTTAATATATATACTTGATTGCCTATCAGAATTGCCTGGTGAGGTTAGGGGCATGGTGGTTCATGACTGTAATTCCAGCACTTTGGGAGACCGAGGCAGGTGGATGGTTTTGAAACCAGCCTGGAAACATGGTGAAACCTTATTTCTACACACACACACACACACACACACACACACACACACACACCACAAAAATTAGCTGGGCTTGGTGGTGCATACCTGTAGTCCTAGCTAATCAGGAGACTGAGGTGGGAGGATTGCTTGAGCCCGGGAGGTGGAGGTTGCAGTGAGCCCAGACAGTGCTACTGCACAGCAGTCTGGGTTACAGAGTGAGACCCTGTTTTTTTTAAAAAAAAAAAAAAAAAAAAAAAAAAAAAAAGAGAAAGAGAGAGAAGAAAAATTGTCTGGTGAACTCCTAAAAAAAATACAGATGTCCACGCATCACTTCAAATCTGCTCATGTCTGGGTGATTCCGATGTGCAGTTTGGGAACCACTGGGCTAAATGGCTCTAGATGGAGCATGTGTCATTGATTTGTCCTGTGACTTATCTTGATTTTTCCATGGGCTCTAGTTCTCCTCCAATTCTTTCCTTTGAAACTTTGGGACTACATTGCTTTGCTTGGAAGACAGGTTGCACAGTAGGTCTTAGGGTCTTTCTTTAGCCCAGGCTCTTCCATACTACACTAAGCTGAAATGTCTTCATGTTTCTGCCTTGTGTATGGCAACCGACCCTTCTTTCCAACCCAGATGCAAATTTTGACCCATTTTTACTTATTCTCCATCACTTCTGTCAGTATTGGGCGTGGGAAGTGGGAGCCAGATGCCTTTGTTCACATTGCCATCTTACCCTGAATTCAGAGGATAATGACTGTCTTACATGAAAATCATATTGAGATGTAAACTGTGCAGACAGAGACAGAAGCTTTATGTGGCATTTCTTACATACATGCATTTCTTACATGCAAACACTTGGTATTTCTCAAAATCATATGCATATATGTGGCAATTTTTATTTCTGATGTCCTTATGAAATCTTTAAAAGTTGCGAAAATAAAGGAGAGCACATATGATAGGTCTTCAAATTCTCTCTCATAACCATCTTTCTACACTTTCCAATTATAGGCAGGAATATTTTCCCCAGTTAGTTGCCTTGTGCTACATACGTCAGTGATATTGAAAATACTGTGGACAATTCTGATCTTGGTTAGAATAATTTATTATTCTTATTCTTAGGTAGCAGAAACTCTCATGGGAGAAATACACATTAAAGGTAGTTATAAAATAACTTCTCTCTGGTAGACATTTACACCTTTCTCATTGGTAGAAAATTTAGTCTTGTTTGAAATTTGCTTTTTCTTGAAATTTACTGATGTTATTCCTGACTCTCTGTTATTTCTTTAATTCATTAGTAACAAGTCTATCCTTTTAAACTACATTAAGAAAATAGAACATGGTAAGAATGAATTAGACCGAAGGAGGTATGAAATGACTTTTTTCTGTACAATGATTGAAACAAGTCTGCTTTCTGATTATTTTATTGCCTTAGTACTCAGCTGAGTGCTCTTGAAATGCTGTCTGCTGTGAAAGCGAATTTCCTCTTGCTTGGTCATCTACTTTCTGGTCATTTTATAGGTTGGAGTGCACTCTTTGTAGAGTTTAAATCTATAGCCTTTGATTTTTATTCACCACTTTCCTTATTCTCAGACTTTCTGGCTACTGTGAAGCTTACCTTTATGACATTTTACTATGGACGATCCAAATGATAGGATTAATTTTCTAAAAATGTCACAGCTTTCTTTATTAATTTATAGCAATTTTTAAATGTTTCATTTGATTAGCTCAGCAGCCTGTGACGTAAGAAAAGCAAGATGAATTACTTGATTTCACAAACAAGGAGACTGAGGTTCAGTAACTTAGCTAAGGTCATTACAATTGAGAATTTGGAGAGCCAAGACTTGAAGCTAAGTCTGCTGATGCCAGATTTAATGTTATTTGTGTTGAACACCCAACCGGCTCTCTTAAGGTGTCAGACTTTCACTTGTACTTAGCCATTGATGCATTTTGCTAAGATGGTGCAACCTACCTATAACCTTCTCTCTTTTCTTTTAGAGGATGATATCTTAGAAGATGATGGAACGTTCAATATTTCAATATTTAATGAAACTTGTTTGAAATTGAACAGGCATTCTAGGAAAATTGGATCAGAACACATGTACCAAGTAAGGAGATCTCTTACGCTATCCATTAAAGAATTGTGTCATTTAAAAATTTGGGTGATCTCCAAGTACGTATCCAAAGTATTTAAAAATGGATGAACTTCTAGACAGTTTGTGATTGTTGTTTCTAGAGATGGATGTGAGATGGATGTAAGTGAGGTACTAACTTGAAGAAAGATGCTATATTTGGTGACTTGCTATCATTTTCTCTGCCTGGTATTTCAAGCTTATATTTTATTTTAGTGCTTTAAATAATACAGCTTATTGTGCTGTCAGAGTCACATTTGGGCATGAAGTTTTAAGGAACTCATTGCATGGCAATTGGCCCTCATTTAACTTGATTTTTTTTTTTAACATCATGAGTAAAAATTGTAAGTAAATCCAAGCAAGAACTGAAATTTATTTTTGTGTCATTTTTAGTACCTAGCAAGTCATCTGGTAGAGATTAAACTCAGCAAGTATTGCATTGATTTTTTTGTTTTTGTTTTTGAGACTGAGTCTTGCTCTGTCACCCAGGTTGGAGTGCAGTGGCACAATCTTGGCACACTGCGACCTCTACCTTCCAGGTTCAAGCGATTCTTGTGCCTCAGTCTCCCAAGTAGCTGGAATTATGGGTGCTCACCACCATGCCCTGAGATGTTTTTATTTTAGTAGAGATGGGGTGTCTCCATGTTGGCTAGGCTGGTCTTGAACTCCTGACCTCAAGTGATCCACCCACCTTGGCCTCCGAAAGTGCTGGGATTACAGGTGTAAGCCACTGTGTCCGGGCCAAAATTAATTAATTAATTCTGTTTACCAAAAGGATATCATGTATTAGGACCTGGAAGTTCCAATTCAAACTAATAGAAATATTTAGGTAAATAGGCAACTACAATATGGTATCATGAGTGCTTTGACAAAAAGTAAATTAATAATGGAATAATAAAAGTAAGTATAATAATAGAGATTTTGTTTGCGTGTATGTCTAGGTACAATTTTTTTTTTTTTTTTTTTTTTTTTTTTTTTTTTTTTTGAGATGGAGTCTTGCTCTGTCGTCCAGGCTGGAGTGCAATGGCACAGTCTTGGCTCACTGCAGCCTCTGCCTTCCAGGTTCAAGCAATTCTCCCACCTCAGCCTCCCTAGTAGCTGGGATTACAGGCATGTGCCATCACACCCACCTAATTTTTGTATTTTTAGTAGAGATGGGGTTTTGTCACATTGACCAGGCTGGTCTCAAACTCCTGACCTCAAGTGATCCACCTGCCTCGGCCTTCCAAAGTGCTGGGATTACAGGCGTGAGCCACTGTGCCAAAACCAAGGTACAATTTTTTAAACCACAAGCAAAGACTATTATACTGAGTCATAGAAAATAAGTAGGAATTAGTCAGGTGAAAGAGCAGAGGAGGGTTGAAGAAGGGTACTGTGGGCAAGTCGAGTGACATATTGGATAACAGAGAAAGCAGAGGGGAGTAGGAAGAGATGAGGCGTAAATCTAAGCAGTGGTGTGATCATTAGGAGCCCTGTATGCTATGCTTTTGAATTTGGATTTTATTTTGATGTCTGTGGGGAGCCATTGAAGGATTTTTTATTTTTTATGTATTCGTTTTCTCTCTTTGCTTTTTTTCCATTTTCTTTTTACTCTGAAGGGTTTTAAGCAGGCAAATGAGATGTTCAAATTTCCATATTACAAAGAACACTAGAGCTGGAAACATATTCAAGTGCCCAAATAATTTAACATATAATAAAGATTAATTTTCAACTCAGCAGAGAAAGGAGATTTATTCGGTAAATGGTTCTGGGACAGCTGATTAGCTTCTTGGTTAAGAAAACCAATGATGACTTCACACTGTACACTAAAATGATTAAAGGGTAAAATTTTTTAAATGTTGCTTTAAGAAATATGTTAGATAAAGATTAATTTGTGTGACAGGTGAAACACTCTTAAACTGACTGGAAAAAAGTCAATATTAAAAAGTGGTTTGCCAAAGGGAATAGACATATTGCCTAAACACACATGAACACTTTATGCCTCCCTTGTAAGTGGTCCAGAAGAATAGGGGACTGCCAGACCGTTGGGGAGCAGCTCCGATGATAGCACAGTCTAGGTTGTGGCCATGGATATGGGTGGCCAAAGTGGAGTGAAGGAAGTTCATAGCATTGAGCTCAAAGAACTCTGAGGCCAACGTTTGATGGTTTATCTGTAAGAATGTTTAAGTTATCCAAGAGAATTCGAGGAGTATGAGAGAGAGGAATCCTTATGAACCAGTTATCAGGTTCTTAGATGACTGTGGAAATTGATAGAAAAGAGTCAGCAATTGATAGGAATAAGGAGGGATAGAGGATGATATAAACAATCGCACTAGCATCAGTGGCAACACTGAGCATATGTCTCTACCAGCTAACACACACTGACTGATCATATTACTTATGGGACCATCACAAAAGTTTTTCCCTGTAATTCCCTGCTGGAGCCGGTAGTGTGTAGAAAATGATTAGGTGACAGTGTGTGATATGACTCCACGGATCAAAAGCCCTGTTACCAGACGTCTAATACGAAGGATCCAGTGAAGTACAATGGTATTTGCTTTGAATGCATAGGTTCTTTTCTCCTTCCAAGGGTAGGGTTAGGAAACTCATCTAGTTTAAGTACTCTGTTCTATGAGGCTTGTCCATGGATTTCTTACAATGAAAAGAAATTAAAAGAATTTTGGTCAGGTGCAGTGGCTCACATCTGTAATCCCAGCACTTTGAAAGGCTGAGATGGGAGGATTGCTTGAGGCCAAGAGTTTGAGACCAGCCTGGGCAACAGGGTAAGATCTTGTCTCTACAGATACATTGTAAAAATAATTACCCAGGTATGGTGGTGTGTGTCTGTAGTTCCAACTACTTGGGAGGCTGAGGATCACTTCAGTTTGAGATTGCTGTGAACGAAGATCGTGCCACTGTACTCCAGCCTGGGTGACAGAACAAGACCCTATCTCAGAAAAAAAAAAAAAAAAAAAGGAAAGAAAGAAAGAAAGAGAGAGAGAACTACTCAGAAGAGAAGGAGGAAGAAAAAAAATAATTTTGCCTATTAGCTTCAATGTAATCTCTTTTGTAATCTCTTTCATTTGGGTGACAATCAAGGGATTATTTTAGAATAGCCTAACATTTTCTTGGTCTGAGATGTAGTTATGCATTTTAAGCTTGGTCCTATACCTGATTTTAAGGACAGGTAATGTAGCTTTCAAAAGTCCTTCCTCAGGTTAGCTTGCTATTGTCTTAAAAATAATTCTAAGTGGATGAGGATAAATAAAGGATCTTTCCTGCTTTAACTTCGTTTTGCTAATAGTCTAGGCACCTGCTAGCCAACAGAAAGTAATGCAACACTTTCTTTTAATCTCATGACAGTTTACCGTTCTGGGTCAGAGGTGGTATCTGGATAATTTTTCTCATGCAACGTCGTTTAACTTCACAACGAGAGAACGAGTACCTGTAGTATGCTTGAATTTGTACCCTACGACTGATTATACGGTGAATGTGAGCCTACTGAGATCTCCTAAGCCGCACTCAGTGCAAATAACAATAGCAACTCCCCCAACAGGTGGGTGCAGACGTCTTTTTTTTGTGCGTCAGGACAAATTGCCTATGTGATTCGAACTATGGAGTGTGGTGGGGCATAAAGAGTGCTAGTCTGGGAGTCAAGAGACATGGGTTCCAGTTCTAACAAACTTTGTTAACTCTGTCTGGGTTCAGGATGCCTGACTGTTACCACTTATCCTCTTCCCTGCAGGGTTCTGGGTGGACTGATTTATTCAGAGCTCCCTGGGAATCCTAAATTGAGAATTTTGTAAAGCATTTTTTTTTTTTTTTTGAGATGGACTCTCTAGCCCAGGCTGGAGTGCAGTGGCGTGATCTATGCTTACTGCAACCTTCGCCTCCCTGGTTCAAGCGATTCTCCTGCCTCAGCCTCCTGAGTAGCTGGAATTACAGGCGCCTGCCATCACACCCGGCTGATTTTTGTATTTTTAGTAGATATGGGGTTTCACCATGTTGGCCAGGCTGGTCTTGAACTCTTGATCCCCCTGTGCCCCTCCTTGGCCTCCCAAAGTGTTGGGATTACAGGTGTGAACCACCATGCCCAGTCAGTTTCTGCTTTCATAGTTATTATATTTATATAATAAGTGCTGGGATTACAGGTGTGAGCCACCATGCCCAGCCTTCTGTAAAGCATTTTATCTCTCACCCCAAATTTAAGACAACTGAACCCTAAGGGTATTCATTATCGGCAACTAGAACCAACTTCTAGGAGACCGCGCTGGCCAGGCTGTTCTCAAACTCCTGACCTCAAGTGAGGTCTCCTGATTCAGCCTCCCAAGGTACTGGGATTATAGGCATGAGCCACCATGCTTAGCTTCAGTTTTTATCCTATTTTTCATATCAGGTTGAGCCTGGCATCTTGTCCTGTCTGTGTCAACAGAGTTTGCACAAGGAGTACTTCCTGACATCATAAAACCTCAACACATTTTCAGCTGCATAATAATACTCACAAATTGAATGTGAATTCCCTCCAATTATTAAATTCTCTGAGAAATAAAAGTCTATAAATAAAATCTGGCTGGGTGTGGTGGCTCACATCTGTAATCCCAGCCCTATGGGAGACCAAGGTGGGTGGATTGCTTGAGCTCAGGAGTTTGAGACCAGCTTGGGCAACATGGTGAAACTCTGTTTCTATAAACAACACAAAAATTAGCTGGGTGTGGCAGCACACACCTGTGGTCCCAGCTGCTTGGGAGGCTGAGGTGGGAGGATCTCTTGAGCCTGCGAGGTTGAGGCTGCAGTGAGCCAAGATTGCACCACTGCACTTCAGGCTGGGCAACAGATCAAGATCGTCTCAAATAAAGAAATAAAGAATAAATAAAATCCACCTCCCCTTGTAAAAGAAACTAAACTGTAAAGACATTAAGTCTCCATCCCCCATCTTCTCTGCCGAGTCTTGGCTAGAGGGTCCTGCTGAAATGGAGAGTGTGTTCTAGCTGTTGAATCCTAGAAATCTTGTTTTGTAATAGATGCTGCTTCTTTGGTGTACAGGGGACTGGCAAATGCCAAGGCTATGAGGGAGGTGTGTCCTTGGCATATACTAGGAATGTCATGGAAACCATTATGGCTGGAGCAGAGAGCTGGGGACAGTGGTGAGAGACGAGGTCTAAACTCTAGCATGAGTATAATAAATGAGAGGCCCATGGTGTCAAGTTCAGAAAGAAGTCTGTTGTTACCTTCTTCTTTGCCTCCCTAAATTACTGGTAGTAAATATAATGTGGCCTGCTGTAGTTCAGCCTCTGTAGGTTACCAAGCAGTCTGGAGTCTACCACGTGTTAATTTCAACTTAGATTGGGAAATGTCTTCTCATCAGGGTGGTTGGATTCATTCTGACACTATGTACTGTCCTTGAAAACGTTAGACATTTGCAGTGGTGGCTCTGGGTCTTTCTTGATGCCCATTCCTAGGATTTAGAATCTTTTCATTTTTATTGCTTCTTTGAGCCCTCTTTCTACCCCAGCTTTACCACTGCTGAAGATCTGTATCTGTTTAGTGAAAGAGCCTCCATTCTCTCTGGGCAGGACATCCCACATTTATCTTAGGAAACTCTTCAAATGAAATGCATTGTCTTGCATGCTTCCTTCACTGTCTCAATTTTTGACTCTTTTCTCTGAATTTCTCTAACTGAAGAGAGATCCCCCAAATTGTTTTAGTTCTGGACTCCATAGGCTTCAAGTATTGAATGTCTGCCTGTGAGTTCTACTTCCGGGTTAGGAGATTTCTCTTTTGTCTCCCATGGGGAATTACCCTCAGCTGATTCGTGAGCTGCTGTTTCCTGTACCTTCACCGGTCTGATGAGGTCCAGGAAATCCGCTGGGTTAGTAGGATTTCACCCAAACCCTACCTTCTTGGAATTGAATTTCTAAGATTTAAATGGTCGGTGCTTCTTTGATGGGAACTGAAACATTTCTTCTTGCTACCGCTTCCTTTTCTGGATCAGAGACATAGCCCTGGGATGTTCCAGGTCCCTCTGAGAACATTCCTACTTAGCAGGTCCTGCTCAGCCCTAAGCCTTTACCCTTCCATCTAAGTTGTTTCTGTTCCTTCTTTATCCCCACGTAGGGCTCATACCTCTTGCTAGGTCTTAGTATTTTCCTTCTCTATATTTGCTCTTCGTTTTCAGTTTTTGTTTTTTGTTCTCCTCACATATTACTTTGGAATCTGCCTCAGGTCTCTGTAGAGAAAGAATGATGTCACAGAGCTCTGGACCTACCTTAAACATCCAGTGTTAAAATACATTCTTCCCACTTTCATTTTCATTAAGAGGTATTTATTTCTATTCAGTTCAGCCTAAACCCAGGCCTAGGCTTGATCAATTGTCATTCTCCCTGGATCTTGTTTAATACAGCTCTATTTCCCAGGAAGATGTCCTTATAGCCTGTGAAATACTGGTTGTCCCATCTACAAAAACAACGCCACCTTGAAACTCACTTAGTGATGCTTGAAGAATTCTGCACTGATTGTTCACTGATCATTCTTTCTCCTTTTAAACATGTTGGCATTTCTTTACAGAGTGTCACAGTTCCAATTATTAAGGAAGAAAGGAAGAGTTCTCATTAATGCCTATTCTTGCTCCTCTATTTAAAACTTTTCCTTGTCATATTTTTCTAACTGGGCCAATATGATTTCAAAGTTTCTCCTTAGTGTTGTTTCCTTCTTTTTATTTCATTCTCTCTAATCTTATCCTATCTGTGAGACCAACACCTTTTTTGTAAACTGATTTCATTCCTTTTTCAGAGATGGGGAAAATCATTTCTAGGAACAGAGTTCTAGGTATATACACTTTTTGTTATTTCTTTTTAGCATTTGAGTTTATAATAATTCCACTTGACTTTTTTTCACTTTAGCCCCAAAAGAATTTCTTATCTAGAATCCCCAGTCTGAGTTTCTGCAAAACAGATCATCCAAGGTCATTTTAAAGCCCTTGGTGTGGGGGTGAACTCAGCCTGTGGAGAAACCACGGGTCCAGTCTTTCTGCAGTTCTCTCCTTAGCCCTGGATGAAATTCCAAACAATATAAAGAGTAATGGAATTTTGGCAAGCTAATCTAGTGTTCTCTACTAATATCTAGCTCCCATAAATGCTCTTTAAATCTCCCACTAATGCTCTGTTTGTGCACCTTAAACTTTAGCAAGTATAATAATTACCCAAACAGCTTACAAAAACATGGGTTCTTGGGCCTCATCCCAGAGGTTCTGATCCAATAGGCCTTTCGGTAGTGGGGGGAAGCAAATTTTCATTTCTAGTGAGCTCTCAGGCCTTGCTGATACTGTCAGTCCACATTTTGAGTCGCATTGCTCTAACCACATAAACCTTAGCTACTTCTGGGCAATTTCAAAGCTCTTGCAGGTGGAGATGTGATAAGGAAAGAAAGACTAAAAGAAAAATAAATGGTAGCTAAAATAATTCCATCTACTCCTGTCTAAGAAGCCTGCCTTAAAGCTTTCTGTGATTTACAAAGTTTTCCTGGTAATCAGGTATCTACCTACCTCATCTGTTCCTAAATTCCAGCTGCAGACACCAAGAGCTCTTATCTCTCCCCACGGTGCCTTGCTCCCTCTGTGGCAGCTCTTATCTTTATACTCAAGGCCCCAATCAGTATATCTACCTTTTTCAGGGAGACACTGAATCTTACCTCTCCTTTCCATCTGAGTTTACATAGGACAAAGAGATAGATACATGACAAGTAGAGTATCAACTTTATTGATCTAGGCAAGTTTCCAGGACTTTATTGATCTGGGCAAGTTTTCCTCCAACACTGAATTTCAGGTAAAAGCTACGTTGAAGGATGAGGTTTAGCTACTGTGGCCAAGTGAAACTTCCTGCTTGCTTTCCCCTGGAAGTATGGGGAGTTGGATCTGTAAAGGAGCCTTGCCTGGCTTACCCACCCAGTCTCAGGCTGAGTAGCAGAGGAAAGGGCGGTGACAGACACTGGTTACTTACCTCTTGGAGACTGGAGATACCCAGAGTGCCTCAGGTACAGGTGCAAGAAATTCCATTTCTCTTTATATTGTTTGCTTTCCCTGAGAGCAATTCTGCATTTTGTTTGGGTGGCGACCTGTAACGTATGAACTTATTACTTGGAAATGTGACTCAAGGAATTGTAGTCTCCTACCAATTAGATTACATATTTACTGTCCCTTCCTTGAGGATTAACATATAGGGAATAGGGAGAAGCCAAAATTGTCTTTTCCTTCATGGAACTGGAAAGACAGGTAAAGAGCAACCTTTTTTTTTTTTTTTTTTTGAGACGGAGTTTCGCTCTTGTTACACAGGCTGGAGTGCAATGGCGCGATCTCGGCTCACTGCAACCTCCGCCTCCTGGGCTCAGGCAATTCTCCTGCCTCAGCCTCCCGAGTAGCTGGGATTACAGACACACGCCACCATGCCCAGCTAATGTTTTGTATTTTTAGTAGAGACGGGGTTTCACCATGTTGACCAGGATGGTCTCGATCTCTCGACCTCATGATCCACCCGCCTCGACCTCCCAAAGTGCTGGGATTAC